TTCAATACAAAACAAATGTTTTACCGAAGATTTTCTCCCAGTAAAGGATTAAAAAATAAAAAAAATTGAGAAATATTGTTTTTGTGGCCAACAGTGGTGATAGAAAAATAAATATTCGTCTCGATTTCTTAATATGTATTGCTAAATCTTAACATGTTGGTCAAAATCGGGAGATAATATTACAAATCTATGAAGAGCTGAAATATTTTTTGTTAAACATATTTTTTATTTTTTATTATTTTCAATGATTTGTGTCGTTTTTCTAAATTCATTTTGAATAAGCTTCAATGATATATCATATTTTATACATAATTCAAAATTATTTAGATATTTTTCGGAATTGTTTTAAGAGAACATGACATTGGTCGAATATTTTCAAACTTTTATGTATTTTGTTCAGGGTTTGAAAAATAGGTAAGTTTCTAACAGATCTGTTCAGCTCTACTAACAAATATATAGGTAAGCTTATAACATATCTGTTCATTTCTGATTATAACATACATATTGTTGACATCGTTTTAACTAAGCCCAGTTAAGCGACGCTGATCAGATGATTATGTTCAGTTGGAGGATGATTAAATTCGTACAAGTAGATGATGTCTCCACGGGCCTCAAGACAATCACATATCGGGTAAAAATTCGTCAAGAACCGACATCTCCGTCAGTTGACCGATATCTCATGTCGGTTATGACATGTCGGTTACTACATGTCGGATATGACATATCGGTTATAACTACACAAGCCGATATCTATGACTTGCCAAACCGACACCATAAGGCGGTGCCAACTCAGCACAACTCATCATTACGCCTAGCCAAGTGGCACGCTACCAGGATGAATGGCAATTAGCCGCCGTTGACTATTCCCATGTAATGATTACATTTCAGATAAATGTTGTAAATGAATATAAAGGGAAGGAGGAGATTCTCTCGCGGGACACGAGAGAGAAAAACGATAATATTCAGAAAATTCTATCTCATTCAGCTTTTCATACGATCTTTATTATTCTATCTTAAACACTTGATAAATTCGTTTATTATATAGTTGTTAATTTCCATTTAACAATAGTTTGGCGCTAGAAGGAGGGCCTCATCACGTTTTGAGGTTAACTTTCGTTGTTAAAGCATTTTCGCGCTTGAAGTCACCATGTCGCAATCTGGTCGAGACCATACAGCTCATCCTGGCCAGAGTCAATCGACTAACCATTCCCCACGGCTTTCAACGCCACCTCCTCCGGTCACGAATATCACGAACTTTCTTCAAAACCCGGAGTTTATTCA